TGACCCACAGAGGGCCTGAAATCAATGTCAGCACCTGCTGCCCCCTTAGTTCTGCCCAGCTCCCAGCCACACCCTCTTCCAGAACCTTCCCTAGGGAAGTGCTGCCTGCAGACTTGGAAAATCTGGTTACCTAACTAAAGGAAAGAAATGGAGATGCCACCAAACAATGCAGGCTGACCCAAGGGTACTTGTCTGGTGCCCTGGAGCTTTGTGGTTTGGCTTGATAAGGAAACAGCCTCCCTTATTAAGCCTTAATTCAGAAATCCCTTCTCCCATAGCCCTCAAGACATGATTTGCCTTCACAGTTGGGCCAGAGGTTCAGAGGGGAGTAGTGTCTCCCTGGGGGTTCAGTGTGGAGTACACAGGGGTGATCAAGGTGCAAGAATGCAACCGTGGGGACTTCCCTGCTGGCGCAGTGGTTAAGAATACGCCTGCCAATGCAAGGGTCACGGGTTTGAGCTCTGGTCGGGGAAGATGCCCCGTGCCGGAGAGCAACTAAGCCCGTGCACCACAACTACTGAGCCCGCGTGCCTAGAGCCTGTGCTCCGCAACAAGAGAAGCCACTGCAATAAGAAGCAACACAACGAAGAGTAGACCCTGCTCACTGCAACTAGAGAAAGCCCACGAGTAGCAATGAAGACCCAACGCAGACAAAAAAAAAAAAAAAAAAAAAAGAATGCAACCGTGGGGAGGAGGATCCAAGGTGGATATTTTGTATCATTTATTATCAGTCTCCCCTGCATAAATAGTAATAGCCCATGTTTAGTGAGTGCTTACTGGGTGCCAGGCACCGTTGTAGGCACTTTACATGCATTAACTCATTTAATCCTCGCAGCAGTGCCACAAAGCAGATAACAATTTATTCACATTTTAAAATATTTTGGGGCTTCCCTGGTGGTGCAGTGGTTAAGAATCCGCCTGCCAATGAAGGGGACACGGGTTTGAGCCCTGGTCTGGGAAGATCCCATATGCCACATAGCAACAAATCCCGTGTGCAACAGCTACTGAGCTTGCGCTCTAGAGCCCGTGAACCACAACTACTGAGCCCGCGTGCCACAACTACTGAAGCCCTCGCGCCTACAGCCGGTGCTCCGCAACAAGAGAAACCACCGCAAAGAGAAGCCCGCGCACCACAATGAAGAGTAGCCCCCGCTCGCCGCAACTAGAGAAAGCCCGCACGCAGCAACGAAACCCCAATGCAGCCAAAAATAAATAAACAAAATAAATTTTAAAAAGAATAATATAAAATATTTTAACAACTTTTCTTTTTAACATTTTTTTTTTGGCCATGCTGCACAGCTTGTGGGATCTCAGTTCCCTGACCAGGGACTGAACCCGGGCCATGGCAGTGGAAGCCCGGAATCCTAACCACTAGGCCACCAGGTAACTCCCTTTTTAACCTTCTTAATATGGAAATTTTCAAAAGTATACAAAAGTGGAGAGAGTGCTACAAAGAATCTTCCATTACCCCCCACCCAGCTTCAACAATTAGCAGTTCATGGCCAATTTTGTCTCATCTATACCCCATCTCTGGATTATCTTGAAGCCAGTCTCAGATGTCATATTATCCCCCATTATACAGTTGAGGGAACTAAGAGGTTAAATAACTTGACTAACATCACAGAGCTAGAAATCATCAAAGTCAGGAAACAAACCCGGGCAATTTGTTTCCAGAACCTGTACCTGAAACCACTATGCCACACTCTCTTCCATCAGAAGGTGAGCTCTGCCCGGTTTCCCAGTGCCCAGCACCGGGTGGGTATTCATTAAATACAGGCTACATGAAGCAGGGAATGGTCAGCCAGCTTTCAGTATCCAGAGAGTCTCTTGGGCATGTGCTATGCTTAGCCTAATGAAAGAAATCTAATCTCTTAAGTCAGGCTGACCAGTTTTTTAGGACCACCTCTGATCACCACCTCTGTCCCCTCTGGCAAGGCCAATTGGAAAGCTCTGGTGTTCAAAGCCCACCCTGCCCTCATCACCTTTGCTTTCCTATCTGTGATGGTGAACTCCACTTCCTGCCGCACCTTCTCGTCCTCCCACACCTGCAGTTCCTTACGGTACTGCGTCAGGAGTTTCTGCCGGTACACCTGTGGCTCAGGACAAGGAGAGAGAAGACCAAGGTCTGGAGGGCCTTGGCCTGGGTCTGTGCTGTGGGCCCCCCACTCTTCCAGAGGTTGGCCTTTGCCTCTCTCTGGGGGTCTGGGTATCTCACAGACCACCCCACACCTCAAGACTGGAAGCTGCGCACCATCCCAGCTTCTCGCTAAGGCTGATCCTACCTTGCATACCAGGTCCATGCTATAGAAGCTGGCATGCGCTGAGGCCTTCAGGGTCACCACAAATGGGATCGTCTCTTCGGGAGCCACCTTTCCTCTCATAGGACTCACAGACACCTATTTATTTTGGGAAGGAGTCTCTGGAGCTTCACAGGGATTGTATAGGACAAGATGGGATAAGGGGTGGGATGGGGTGGGATGGGATGAGATGGGATGGGATGGGATGGGATGGGATGGAGTGGAATGGGGTGGGATGGGATGGGGTGGGATGGGATGGGGTGAGTCTAGAGCCCTTCTGGATGTTCTGATTCTGCAAACACAGGAAACTCTCACCTCCCCAAAGTCTAGAGCCTTCTGCTGCCAGACAAAGACAATTGTCTCATTCTTGGAGATGTTGTTGAGGAACAGCAGGCGGCTGCACTTGCTCTGCACAGGAATGTTTCCCAGGGAGATATGAGATTGGGACAGGAAGACATTCTGTTGGTGGAGACAACACAACAGCAACTTTGGGAGGTGAAGAAATACTAAGCATAGCAACCACTACCAGTCACTGAGCGCTTTCAACAGGCCAGGTACCACTGTAGGCACCTGCCATGCATTTGATCCTCACAGTGGCCCAATATATAGGCCACTACTATATATAGGTACTACTAATCATTTCACTTTATAGACGTGCTGCTAAGCTTCAGAGAGCATAAATAATTTTCCAAAGGTCTCTCACAGGCACAGCTGGGATAAACCCTGACAGTCTCACTCTAAAGCCTATGATTTTGACCATTAAAATAGGCTTGGAAGGGCTGAGAAATCAGAATTCGCTTAGAGAAGGCAGAAGTAAAGCCAACAAAATTTGTCTCTGAAGGATGTTTGTAAATTAGTAGGTGATCAGCTGTTGGCACCTTCACTGGGCACACAGCAGGAGCTGTGTTGTAGGGGTATCTGAAAAGATTGAGGCCATGGAAGGGGCACTTTCTCTCTGTCTAGACCCTGAGTGCCTCCAGAGCTGAGACTTTGTCTGGCTCTTCTCTGTGACACCACAGTACTCATCCTTCAGTAAGAGTCCAAAGAGGGTGGGAGTGGAAGGGTGGACAGGCAGATGTATTGGTGGATAGTAACTGGATGAGTGCATGGATGGATGGATGGAGAGATACATGGATGAATAAACAGGCATGTGGATCAGTGGGGAAATAGATGGATGGATGTGTCAGACCTCCCAACAGTGAGGAGTGTGTGAACTAAAGGTAATGTTACTGACTCTAGATATTTCAGCAAAATCCATCTAGGCCCAGGGGAGAGACTGCTCTATATGAAGATAATATCTCAGAGCCCTAGAATGGCAGAGCTTCTTTCTACTCCTTTCAATACTTCCATCCCAATGCACAGAGGCAAGGGCGGGTGGAGGGCCCTGCAGCAGGTGGAGTGGCTGAAGCAGGAACACCTGTGGACACTAGGTGGCAGGGTAAGCCTCTCATGGAGCTGGTGCTGCCTCCTAAATCAGGAGGAGGGCTGGTTCCAGGTTCACCTCTGTATTCCTCCCTTCTCAACTCCGTCTCTTCTTTCGCAGCCTCCCCATCCCTCCGCAGTGGACACCCTGGACCCTCAGTCTCCTCCTAGGCCTCAGGCCTTCCCAGCTCCCTTCCCCCTACCTGTCCAGGAACCATCAGCCTCGAGTGGATGGAGCTATTGTCCCATGAGGAGATGTTGTGGAATGGGGCTGTGTCGCCCATGATGTGAGGGTCATAGCCCACTCCCTGGAAGCGGATGATGGCTGAGTTCCATCCCAGGATGTGTATGGGCACATCCACCTGGGAAGTTAGGAAGGTGGGGGAAGGCACTGGTCAGAGCAAGGTCTGCTGGGGAGGCCACCTCCAACCCCCGCCCCAAGCCCGTGTTAGCCCAGGCTGCTGCTCACCATGTAGGTCTTGGCCTCAATAGGTGAGAAGATCCAGAAGACGAGAGCAGTTGTACCTGGCTGGATCTCCCCTTTGGGGTTGAGGCAGCAGAAGATGGGGTGATCAAAATTTTTTTCCTGAACCTGCGACAGGATGCTGGTCTGGATCTCATATGTCACAGGCACCGAGCCACCGTTATACAGCTCATAAATCTGCAGGGGGAAGGAACAGGGAAATCTCCACACCAGCTCTGGGTTGCAATGCAGAGAGCCTGGGATTCTGTGTCCGCTGTAGGAGGGCAGGTCGATCCCCGTGACGTCACCCTTAGAGTCCCAGAGCTCCCTTAAATACCTCTGATTTCCCATATGGCTTGATCACCCAAGAAGTATATAACTATATTTTCAACCTGTGACATTTAAGTATAATCTGTAATTCTTATTTTATTTGCTCTCAACTTACCTTAGTCAAGGTATAAGGGGACACTAATGCTTGTGTCTCTAGTGTTGGAATTTAGGGAAATGTCCATGCATGCACCATCCAGACCCTTCATCATTTTCTAGGCTCTCATTCTAATTACCTGTGAGGCTGCCACTTTCCATGTCTGCCATTAGAGGTAGTTGTGCTTACAGGCAGATAAGGGAGCAGAAGGAAGATATGAGGGCCCCCAAGACTAACTCCAAAGTTGGGGAATCACAGAACGGCCTGCCTGAAACCAGAGATCTTCTGGTCCAAGCCTCCATGTTAGAGATGAGAAAACGGAAGACAGTGAGAATAAAGAGTTTGTCTGGATTTAGGTCCAGCCCCTCATCTTTCTCAGCACCCACCCCTGAACGCGCTGATGTTTTTTCTCTAGCTTGGACCACCCTCTGAGCTTCAGACCTGGTATCCAACTACTACTAAACAACTCCTCCTGGTTGTCTCATAGGCCTCTTAAATTCAGCCAAAACCAAACTCTTCGCTCTAAAACCTATTCCTCCCCCTAGTGTATCTTGTTTCAGCAAATGGCACTACATATTTCCAGTGGCTCAAACTAGGAATCCATTTTTCATCCATCCCTTTCTCTTACTTCCCAGATCCAATCCCCAGCAAGTCCCAGGGATTCTGTCTTCAAAATGTAAATTAAATCTGTTCACTTCTCTCTGTTTCCTCTGCCCTCTTGCAGGTCCAGGCCACCATCTGTCATCATCTTATGAACGAAAAAGGAAGCTTGGCTGCAGTTGTGGAGTTCGGCTGGAGGTACAACTGGGTCTTCTCCAGATCTGGGGGCCTTTTCCATTGTCTATGTTCAGGGCCATGGGGGAGTGGTCTGATCTCTCTGGAAAGCTTTCCAGGAGGCATGTGAGTGTTTGCCTTCTCTTTTGAGGGTCTGGGCTTCTGGGAAGCCAGTGGCGTAAAGGGTGGTGTAAGGCAGTGAGCAGAGCTCGGGACTATGAGACCCCCTCTCAGGTCTAGGAAGCCCATTCCTCTGCCTCTAGGCTGAGTGGCTAGAGGCCCCTGCCCAGAAACACAAGGGCTTCTCGATTGTTAGAAATTTCAGAGTGATGAAATGTTTGTGAAAATACTATATCCTCTCTTGGAGATTTCCAATGTACATTTTCAGAACAAAGGAACCTGATTCCCTCCAATTAATAAATAAAATTCTATAGCTTTGAGGATTTACATTCTAGCTTTTCACGCTCCAGACAGATGCCCTTTTTGGGGCAGTGATTTTCAAACTGTGACTGAGACCCATTAGGAAACAGGTCATGAAACCAATTTATCAGGTCATGCCCAGCATTTAAAAAATGGAACAGAGCTTCCCTGGTGGTGCAGTGGTTAAGAACACGCCAGCCAATGCAGGGGACACGGGTTCGAGCCCTGGTCCTGGAAGATCCCACGTGCCGCGGAGCAACTAAGCCCGTGCGCCACAACCACTGAGCCTGTGCTCTAGAGCCCATGAGCCACAACTAATGAGCCTGCGCACCACAACTACTGAAGCCCGTGCGCCTAGAGCCCGTGCTCCGCAACAAGAGAAGCCACCGCAATGAGAAGCCCGCGCACCGCAACGAAGACCCAACACAGCCAAAAATAAAAATAAGTAAAATAAAATAAATAAAACATTTAAAAAAATGGAACAGAATAAAATAAAAAAGAAAACATCAGAGTACTTAGCATGTAGTGGTGCACGTATTGATTTGTTTTGTTTCAGTTGTATGTGTATGTATGTATTGGGTTTTCCAAAATGTATTAGTGTGGCTCACGGTCAAAGAAGTTTGAAGAACCCTGTGTTAGAGGAAGGAACTCCCTGCTTTTGCATGGGAATGAGGCCTGGCAAGAGGTTTAGAACCAGTGCCAAGAAGCTGAAGCCTCTCGCCTTGGGTCTCTCCCCGTTGCCCAGTCTTGGGGTCCAACCTGCCACCCCACCTCTTAGAGGGAGGGCAGGGTCCTTGTCATCCTGTCAAGGGCTGATAAAGATACACAGAGATCAATACTTAGGCTTCCTGGTGACCAGGACAATGTAGACCACTGACCTGCCTTGGGGGCAGCGTGTCGCCGATGGGGACGGGGATGAACTGATGGCTGGTGGAGGTGAAGTGCACGTACTTTTGCTCCAGCTTCACTGTCACACCTATGAAATTTAGCTGGAAATAGAAAGCCTGTGAGTAGCATCCTTCCCTGGGAGGAACTGAAGTACCCAACAGAGAGATCTGGTCCCCATCTCTCTGGGGAGCACGGCTCCCTGTGCCTCTCTCTTGGTTTTCCAGGACAGGACCAGAGCTGGGCCTCACCAGGATCTCCCGGCCATGGGACACCTTGAAGAGCACCGGGAGGCGATCAGTGCCAATGAACAGGTGGCTGGAAGGGAGGAGAGAGTCTGGGATGAGTTACTGAACCCTGGTAGGAGTGGGAGAACAAGCGGTCATGGCAACACCTATGGCTTTGGGGCAGCTACGTGGAAACCCCTGAGCTGGGATGGGGCAAGTGGAAAATTAAACTTCCCCTGCAGGTGGGAAGGCGGGGCCTTCTCAGGGCGGTGGCCACTCAGGATACCCTGGAGTCACACAGTGCAAGGCCAGCGTCCTCCATGAGTCGGGGGGAAGGGGGTCTCCAGGACTGCAAGTGCAGGGCGGGCGGTGGGGGCAGCACCTGTATTTGAACTCCACCATCTGGTCTTGCCCGGGACTCAGGCTCCCAGCCTTGGGGCTGACGGAGAATATGCAATTGTCCTGCACGCGCATTTGCTGCAGCTCAGTGCAGTCAAACTCCACCTGCTCTGCCCACAGCTCCAGGTCGATCTGCTGGTCACTTGGAAAGAGGAAGGCCCTGGGAAAGGGGTGCAAAGAAGAAGGGTTGGAGCCTCTCAGTCAGAACAGAGGCAGGAGCTCTGAGCCCCAGGCAGGATGGATGGAGGCCTTTTCTTCATCCCCCAGTAGGCAAGCTGTCCCATGCGTGGCTGGGCAGATGCGGCAGTTGTGGATTCTCATTTCATAATGGCCCCCAAACCCAGGAACAGAAGCAGGGTCCCGTTGACTAAATGGAAAGCGGAGATTGGGGCTCGCATTGTGGGTGCCAGGGGTCAGGGTGCTGGCCACTTTGAGCTGGGCACTGACCCTGGAGGGGTTTGTGTGACAAGCTGTTAGGAAGGGCCATTTGAGCCACTAGAAATGCCAGCAGCACCAACCAAGTGTCCCCAAGAGGGCTGGTAGTGTTGAATCCAAAGCAAGGCTGGGCATAGAATGAGTGCCCCTGTAATGCCTGGTGCTGTACTAAAGCAGATACTGCTCTCTAAATGGTGACCAAATAAGTGACCAAGGGGTCCCAAGGTCACGATCTGAAAAGAAGGATCCCTGCGCTCTCAAAGGGATGGCACAGAACTGTCCTCAAAACGGGCAGAGGTTATGAAGAGGGAACAGCCAGAAGGGGGAAAGAAAACAGCCAACACATCTGAAAAGGCTCAAGGGGAGTTGGGAAATGCAAATCAAAACTCCCTTGAATCAATCTTAAATATTTTCACATCTGAATCCTGACAAATAGTTACATCCAATGGTGGTAAGTTTAGAAAGAACGACATCTTCGAACACAGGTAGGGAGAGAAGAAATTGCTACCACCTTTTGTTGTAGGAATTATGACAGCACCTTTTAGAATAAAAAGTGCATAGAATAAAAAAATGCCCTTTGACTCAGAAATTCTATTTGGGGGAGCTAAGCTGCAGGAATAAACGTAAGTGTGCAGGCAGGCAGGCACGCACGCACGCGCACACACACACAGACACACATACTCACACAAGGATGTTTATTACAACTTTGTTAGTGAGGGCAAAAAATATTAAAAAGCACTGGGAACAACTAATGTCATCTAATAAAAGAGTGGTTTTAAAACGTAAGGGCCATTCATATTACGGAATACTGTGCAACTATTAAAAAGAATGAGTTAGATCTATATGTCTTGATCTTTATTGATCTATAGGGAATGTTACTGACATAATGCTGAGTGAAAAGGTTATTGCTATAATGCTGAGCAGAGAGTAATATGTGTAACATCATGCCATTATGGTAAAAGAAATGAAGCAGTAGCTGTGTCCCTGTGTCTGTGCCTTGTACCAGTGCTGAGAGTGGAAGCTCATGCCAAACCCTCCAGGGCAGACTAGAGAGGGAGCTGGGGTGTTTCTAACGTTTCTTCCATCACCCTTGTATTGTTTGACTTGCTACAGGCAAATAAACTGTTTGGTCATTTTATTTGCAGGGTATTGATCAGCGGCAGAACTGGTGATCTCGATACATCGGGGTTGTCCTGCCCCTTTTCCCTGGCAGCCCTCTGGTGTGGGCCCCCATCTTGGGACTGTGGAAGCCTGCCAACCTGTCCCCCTGCCTCAAGCCACGAATCCTTCTCAGAAGGAGAAGGAGTCCAAGGCCCTGCCCGTCCCCCATCAACGTTGCAGCCACTCTGTGGCCTCTTCTCTTACCCATGTCCGCGCTACACCCTCCGTCTGGGAGGCTCTTCGCAGCCTCTCTTGCCTCTGCTCCCTGGGTTGCAGGTCTAGCTTGGCTGTAGCTTTCTCCAGGAAGCCTTTCTCACATGCCCACCCCCACCTACCACTTCCAAAACAGAGGCAAGTGGCTGCACAAGCCTCTTTCACAGCACTTGTCACCCTGCACCAAAAAGGCCGGTCCGCCCCACCTGGAGGGCAGGGCCTGGGCTCATCTGCATTGCTATTCTGAGCTCTGGGCCTGGAGCCTACACCTAGGAAGCCCCAGTCAACATTTAGCCAATGACTTAATGAATGAATGAGGGAACAGATGATGTTAACCCGTATATCTGATGCCTGTGAGGGATCACCCCTTAAATGCACGGCAGGTTTTCTGTCCTGCCTGCTGCTGCCTGCAGGCCAAGTCCACACTCCCCATTTCTTACTGGTCTTGGCAGGAATAAAACCTTCAGTCTGTTCCTTATGAGTTTAGCAGAGACCCGGCTAGAATTTTCAAAAATAGCCTTCTAAGAAATTGAAAGGAAACACAACAACACAGAAAGCCTAGGAGAGTCAAGCCTTCCCAGGAAGGTTCCCTGTGTTTGCAATCTGGGAACAAGCACGCACTGCCTTCCTGAACCTCCAATGATCTCCCAATGGACGGCCCAGCTCGGCGGGCACTCTGCCCAGCTTTCCTCCTGCCCCAGTTTCTAGCAACCTGGACCCTCTCCATAGAGAGTGTGAGCTGGCTTGCTCCTACACAAATACACACGCATGCACAATCCACCAAAGTACCCTGCTCCACACCAGGACACAGGCCAGTGCCGCTTTTCCTGCCCCCACTCCTGAGCCCTGCAGGGCCTGGCTCCCAGCCACTCAAACAACCCAGGGAATGGCAGATCCAGAGCTCCAGGCGGGCCCTGGGCCTTCCCCACCAGCCTGCCAAGCTTCCCAGTCACTCAGGGCCAGGAGCCCTGAGTTACTCACAGTCCCGGCCCTTCTCAGACAGGAGCCGCCTAATAAATCAGCTCCCCCGGCATCCTCCACCACAGGGAGGGGCAGGACAACCTGGAGAGTACAGGGTGGCCACTGCACCCCGGGTGATGCAGCCCCCCACCAGCCTTACCCACATGCACCCCATGGCTCGGCTCAGGCAGGAAGTTTCCTGAGATCACAGATGCCCACCCCCTGCATATGTTCACCCTTATCCACTCACTGCCATGCCCAGGCTGGGCCCCTGGCTCTCTCCCCAAAGCCTGACCCAGATGGGGACACTTCTTTCTCACCTCCATCTAGCCAAGCAAAGTTGGAAGTCATCAAAAGGAAGTTTACTAGGAAATCAAGGCGTGTGGCAGAGGAAGGGAGGGAAAAAAAGAAATGGCGCTGGCATGGAAACAGGATGCTTACTGGGCACCAGTTTGGGGCCCCAGTGGGAGGAAAGCCAAGGACAGGAAGGGCCCAGCTTGGCGGGCTCAGGTCTCCAGGCCTGGGCCCCCTGTGACTGGGGAATTGCAGCCTGCCCCATGGCCAGCCTCGACCCTTCCTGCAGCTCACCTGGCTTTGCTTAGCCCTGTCATCTCCCTGAAAACGGCGCTGTGGCAGCAGAGCACCGTCCTTCCCTGCCAGAGACCCTCAACTCGCCCCCGTGCAGGCCCGGCCCCCATTGGCCTGGGGCTCTGTCGGGGCTGCCCCAGCGCCTAGCACAATGCCTGGGACACAGGAGCACCTCGCAGCTTCTTGCTGACTAACCAGTGTAGGCGGGGATTCTGGAGTTGGACAAATCTGGGCTTGAACTTGGCTCTGCCTCTAATGGCTGAATGCTCTTGGTTGAGTCCTTAGCCTCCCACCTGTGAAAGAGTCAGCAGAGGGGGGTTTTTTCCACAGGGTTGATGTGAGGCTCAGAGGAGAAGAGGCTCCGAAAGCCCAGTGGCTGGCATGCAGCTGCTGCGTGACGATTACTTCTCATTTCTTAAGCTCTGAAGATGACCCTGCCAGTCTCCATAGTGTGATTCGACCATTTCTGAGCCCGTGGACCCGACTCAGCCAGTGACAGGTCTGGTGTCCTGCTGGGCGACCCTAGTCCCACCCTGGCCTCTACATCCTTCAGTGAGGGTGGGGGGGCACACTTCACAGACACCAGGCGGCCAGGGCTACCACCAGCAAGAGAAGGCCTCCAAGCCCCTGTCCCCCGGGCCCCCGGGTCCCCACTCTGTACCAGTCCAGGGGCACCACTCCACTGTTCTTCAGGGCCAGAAGCACCACAGAGGGTGGGGCATCTATTGGTGCTGCCCCAAAATTGAAGCTGAGCTTCAGAGGGGTGAAGACAGAGGGGGTCTGGCCGGTGCTGTGTGGAGCAGAGAAGTGGTCTCAGAAACAGGGCTGGGGACAGGATGGGGCCCTTCCAGGGGCGGCTGGCTGGGCACCCATCTCCCCACAGGTGGGAATTGGAGAATCTGGGACTCAGGGGCAGGGGTGGGTCAGCACTTTAGACCTCAAGCCCATCCCTGCCTTCTCCGTGCTCCTCCGGGGTTGGGCAGGAATTGGGGAGGAGGTGGGGAGCCCCTTCTTGGACAGGCCCTGGGGCTGAGGGCATGGATGGAAAGCTCCAAGAACATCCCCGGACAGGCCCTGCCTCTCCCCCAGGCCCACCTCACCTGTGCCGGGTGGGCACTTTGTAGGTGAGTTCCCAGGAGGTGGGGTCGCGCTCCAAGTAACTGTTGAGCAGGTCCAGGGAGAAGAGGTGCCACAGATGCTTCCGGGTGATGCCCTCGGCGCTGCCCATGGAGCAGATATCCAGGATGGAGAGTAGGGGGTACACGGCCATCAGGGACACGTGACACAGCTCCTGCTTCTCCCCAACCTTGTTATCTGGGGGAAAGCGGTGCGGGAGAGAGGGGTGGGCTCACCTCACAGCTCCCCTGGGGCGGGGCGTACAGGCTGAGGATGCAGGGGTCCCGGGGAACCTGTCCCAGGACGCTTGTCAGGAGCAGACTCTGGGATGCTTCCAACAATAGCCAAATTTTATCTGATACTTTCTATGGACCAGGCACTGTCCTAAGAGCTTTGCAAACACCACTGTGCACTGTTTTCAAACTATTGATAATACTTACTAATGGCTTTATTGAGATATAATCTATATGCCATAAAATTAACCCTTTTAACACATACAATTCAGTGATGTTTTTTGTATATTCAGAGGTGTGCAACCATCACCACAAATTTTAGAATGTTTTCAGGCTTTCCCAAAGAAACCCAGTACCAAGTAGCTGTCACTCTCCGTTCACCCCTGGCAACGACTAATCTACTTTCTGTCTCTGTAGATTTGCCTATTCTGGGTGTTTCACATAAATGGAATCATACAATGTGTAGCTCTTTGTGACTGGCTCCTTTCACTTGGCGTAATGTTTTCAAGGTTTGCCCGTGTGGTAACATGTACTTTATTTTTTTGCCTGTGCACCATTATTATCCCCATTTTACAGATGTAGGAACTGAGGCATAGGGAGGTTAAACAAGTCGCTGAGATTACATGGCTAATAAGTGCTGAGGCCAGGATCCAATTCCAGGGAGTCCACACTCTTAGCCACTCTCCTGTGCTGGACTCCTATCAGGCAGCCCCGGGGCAGGATGGTAACAACCTCATTTTATGAAGGAGGAAACTGAGGCCCAGGGCAGCTGAGGATTTGCTTATGATCCCACAGTAAATCAGCACAGTGCCCAGCCCTTCACGTTGAGTCCTCCAAAGCTCAGGCACACACAAACGGACACCCACACATACAGATGTGGTTGGTATGAGGCATATACACCAGACACCCAAAGGCACACCCTGGCACACTCACACCCACTCTGCCAGCTCTGTCTGAACCCTCGGCATCCTCCCACCCCAAGTCCTGCTCACACAGTCCTCCCCCTTTCCTCCCTGGTCTTGACTCTCCGTGCCAGATGGCCCAGGTACCTCTGTGGGAGAGGAGAGAGTAGTTGATGGTCCAGGAGTACTGGGAACGGTGTTTGGGACAGGCGGTCAGGCAGATGGTGTCCTGGGACCGGGGCGGCATGCTCCCCTCTGTGCGGTCCAGCTGCAGAGCTGTTCAGGAATGACCGGGTGGGGTCAAGGGCAGAGGAGGCCCTCAGTGCAGCCCAGGGAGGTCCAGCCTTTCCTCTTGCTCCGCCCCAGATACTCTCCCCTGGACCAGCATTGCTCTGGTTAGAGGGCAGGCCCTGAGCCAGGAAATGGGGAGCAGAGTGCTTCCTCCAGATCAAGACAGTGTGAGGACATGTCTTGGTGTCACTGGCATCTGCTAAGCACTTTGTGCCACCTAGCTGCCTGGTGAGGCAGGCTCCACCAGCAGCCCCATTTTACAGATGAGGGAGTTGAGGCTCAGAGAGGACAATCACCCGGCAACGCCACACATCTAGCAAGTGGAAGCACCACGTTTTAAGCCCTGCTCTGCCTGCCCCCGAACCATGGTCTGGTTAGCCAGTCTTAACCAGCGCCCCTCACTGCCTGCCTCCCAGCCCAGTCCTGCCCAGGCCTGAGTACCGAGGGGGCCATTGCCGACAGCCTCAGGGCTGCACTGTTCCAGGAACAGGCGGTAATAGAGGGTGCAGTTGCCGTCATTCAGGAGCACCAGCACCCTGGTCTGCTCGCTGTTCACCAGCACGTTCCCAAAGTCCAGCTCCTTTTCCTTTGCCTGAGGGCCAGAGTCAGCCAGGCCGGGGTGGGGGGCTCCCCCAGGTCCACGGCCCCATCTTTCCCAACCCTGGCCTCAGAGAATCCCCAAGGAAGGGCAGGTTCAGGCACCCTGGGGCCTTCCCTCCCGCAGGTGCCCTGGTCCCCTGCCCCCTCCGCTCCCCGCCGGGGTCCTCCCACTCACGGAGAGGCTGCTGCTGATGCCCATGCCCACCAGCCGGAGCATGTAGTGGGTGGTGGCGGGGGGCTTGGTGTTTGGGGGCAGGCCAGCTTCCCAGACCCACATCCCCACTCGGAACAGGTACTTGATCTCCTCCAGGGGGCTGAAGGTCCACGTCAGCGTCTGGGGTCACAAAGATTAGCCCTGCATGGGGGTCTCTGGGAACCCCTGCCCAGGCTCTTGGACATCTAAGGTCCCGCTGCAGGATATCAGGCTATGGTAACCCATCCTGAGTGTCTCCCCGTGCCAGGCACTTACACACATCATGTGCTATGTTATCTCCCTTATAGCCCCTCGATCCCTTAGCCCCACGAGGTAAGTGGTATTATTTTAGTGCCTCATTGTCTGATGAGGAACTGGAGACTCAGAGAACTGGGGTAACTTGGCCAAGGCCACACAGCTGATGAGGGCGCCTGGCAGGAGCTGGGGTGTGAGCTCTTGAGGTGACTCCCAAGCCTGCGTGGCCTCTCGCCTTGCAGGTTACTACCCCCGGCTTCTAACAGACACCGTGTGTTGGTGGTTCTTGGCTCAAGTTTGGCCTCCCCAACTAGGAGGCCCTAGACCAGGGATGGAAGTCTGCTAGCTTGGGCCCCACCCATGCCCCCCC